TTTAACAAATATTTGTTGAGTGCCTGCCATGTTTCTTTTTTTATTATTTTTAAGTTCAGGGATATATGTATAGGTTTGTTACATAGGTAAAGTTGTTTGAAGGGGGTTTGTTGTACAGATTATTTCAGCACCCAGGTATTAGCCTAGTATCCATTAGTTATTTCTCCTGATCCTCTCCCTCCCCCAATCCTCCACCCTCCTATAGGCCCCAGTGTATATTGTTCCCCTCTGTGTGTCCATGTGTTCTCATAATTTAGCCTTCACTTATAAGTGAAAACATGCAGTATTTTGTTTTCTGTTCCTGTGCTAGTTTGCTAAGGATAATGGCTTTCAGCTCCATCCATGTCCCTGCAAAGGACACGATCTCATTCTTTTTTATGGATGCATAGTATTCCATGGTGTATATATACCACATTTTCTTTATGCCATATTTCAGGTACTGTACTAAGCACTAGCACTTCATAAATAATAAAATAACACTTTCTGCTCTCAAGGAATATATAGCCCAGAGTGGGGTGTCAGAACTTGTATTAGTCCATTCTCACGCTGCCATGAAGAAATACCTGAGACTGGGTAATTTATAAAGAAAAGAGATTTAACTGGCCCACGGTTCCACATCTCTGGGGAGGCCTCAGGATACTTACAATCATGGCAAAAGTGTAAGCAGAGGAAATGCCAGACACTTGTAAAACCATCAGGTCTTGTGATAACTCAGTTACTCTCACAAGAACAGCATGGGGGAGACTGTCCCGATGATTCTGTTACCTCCCACTTGGTCCCTCTCAAAACATGTGGGGATTATGGGGATTACAATTCAAGATGAGATTTAGGCAGAGACACAGCCAAACCATATTAGACATGCAGAACATAAATGCTGTTCAGAGCCATGGGAGCCACAAGAGAGGAGGGGGGGATAATGGAAGTTGAAGGAGGGTGTGTATCCCACTGCCCTATGAAAGTCCTGTCTAAGGAGTACCCTAGAAGGTGAGAGTGATGACAAGGTGGCAGAAAGCAGGCTGACCAAGGGAGATGGTAGGTGCAAATGCCCTGGAGCTAAGGAAGTGTGCCACAAGTGAGAGAAATGGACATAATGTAAGGCAAAATTGTCACAAGCCCTGATTTGAGAACACAGACCTGTAATGAAAATTCAGTTCTCCACATGCATAACCTTGAGAATGTTATACCTGCTGTAAAATGGAGGTAAGAATAGTACCTACCTGCTAAGAGTGTTGTGAAAATTAAGGGCAAAGTAAGTGAAATCCCACCCGGAAGCCCTTGACACAATATGTATGGCACAATGATGACAGGGATGGTTATGAACTACAGCAACAAGAAACAGAACAAGACGAGTCTAAATGAGGTTGGCGTGACCCCAGTGAGGGAGGGTCTTCTGCACCATGCCAAGGAGTTTTCATCTGACTGAAAACCTTGGAGGAATTTTAAGTAACACAGTGCTAAATAACCAGATTTGTGCCTTAAGATCTCTCAGTTAACCGTGTGAAGGATGAATTTAAACCTAGCATAAAAGGATAAATGAGAGCTGAATTGAGACAACATTTGGGGGATGGTGAGGAGAGGACAGATTTTTGTTGATGTTGTTGTGGTGGTTGTTGAGACAGAGACCTGCTCTGTCACCCAGGCTGAAATGCCGTCATACCATCTTGGCTCACTGTAACCTTCACCTCTTGGGTTCGAGAGATTCTCCTATCTCAGCCTCCCGAGTTGCTGGGACTACAGGTGCACACCACCACACCCAGCTAATTTTTTTGTATTTTTAGTAGAGACAGGGTTTCACCATATTGGTCAGGCTGGTCTCAAACTCCTGACTTCAGGTTATCCACCCACCTTGGCCTCCCAAAGTTCTGGATTTACAGGTGTAAGCCACTGTGCCCAGCCGAGAGGACCGATCTTGTAGACATTAAGGAGTAGAAACAATAAGACTTGCCCACCAGCAGTTGGTGGGGGGTGGTTAAAAGAAAGACAATGACCTTTAGATTTCTGGCTGAAGTGACTGAAGTGGGAAATCATTAACCAAGAGAAGAAACACCAGAGGTAGAACCAATTTGAGGGAAAATAAGAGTTCCATTTTAGATGGTAAGCTTCTCAGCCCACAGGATATCTAGGCAGAGCTGCAGTAAGTTATTGATAAGTGCATCTGGTGCAGGGTGGACTTACACACAGGAAAGCAATAGCATATTATTTACCATCACTTCAAGCTATAGAAATAGATGTGTTTATCTGGAAAAGCAGTTAAAGTCTGAGGGGAGCAGATTACTACATCTTTAGGTAACTAAGTCACGGGGACAAAATAACTTAAGAATGAACTCTCTAAAGATGAGACTTTGACTCAATTTCAAAACGGCTGGAAGGAATCCATCCTGCAGTTCTCCAGCCAGTCCTGTTGAAAAAAGACCTCATAAGGCTTTTTGTGTGGGATCAGTTCACAAATGGTTTATACTACTCCCTCCCAGTAACAGAGAATAGATCTGAAAAAGCCAACTTGAAGCCTTCACTTTGGGAGGTAAGGGTAGCCATATTGGGCTGTGTAAAGATCTCAAGATTATTCTAGAATTAACCAGAGTGCCTTAAACTACAATATTAAGCATACTTCATTTGGCTAGAGATGTCAGCACATGGTGGATATGCTGAGATGGTTCAAATAAGTGAAGTGTATGAAGAATGCTAGCCTCTCCTTTGAAATACTAAAGTCATGGGGGCCATAAAGAGAGTAAAATCAGGTTCATCAATAGGAAGATGGTTAAAAAGAAGAAAAAAATGTGGGGAGGATATATACAATATCTCAGCAATTTTTTTCATACTCCATACATAGAAATTAATTGTGACCAAATTCTTATTAACATGTTCTGATGTAATAAAGATGTTCTAGGACCACATATACACATATTACATATTAAAAAACAAGTTACAATTTTTTTTGAGACAGGGTCTGGCTGGAATTTTTTTTTTGAGACAGGCTGGAATGCAGTGGCACAATCTAAGCTCACTGCAACCTCCACCTTCTGGGTTCAAGTGATCTTTCCACCTCAGCCTCCCAAGTAGCTCGGACTACAGGAGTGCACCACCACACCTGACTAACTTTTGTATTTTTTGTAGAGACGGGTTTTGCCATGTTGCCCAGGCTGGTCTTGAACTATTGAGCTTAAGCTATCTGCCCACTTCATGCTCTCAAAGCACTGGGATAGGAGCATGAGCCACTGTACCCAGTCTCAATTATAATTTTTATTGCACATTTGTTAAAGTCCTTTAGAGATCTTAATTCCTTTTTATATTTCTTTTTACTTTTTGAATAAAGATAGGGTCTCCCCGTGTTGCTCAGGCTGGTTTCAAACTCCTGAGCTCAAGGCAGAAGCCACTGCACCCAGCCTTAGAGTTGTTAATTCTGCCTTACAACTGCCCAACCATTTCCCCTCTCCCTGCTCCCACCTCCAAAGAACAATTCTTCTGTCACATTCCCCAATGTTATCATCTATTGCCTTCACACATTTATACTGTATGAAGTTATTTATTTATACATTTATTGCTCCTCCTCTCCATAAGAATGAAAGCTCCATGAAAGGGAGGGAACTTGTGACTCTTCTCCATGACTGTGTTACCATCTCTTAGCACAGAATCCAGCACATAGTCGGTACTCCAAACAGGAATGTTCAATAAGTTGAACAAATAGAGTTTTTGTTTCTTAATAAGTTTTTACCATATCAGAGAGGACTTGTCTGATCACCCTATCTAAAATACCACCTCTCAACACTTCCTGTATCTTTACCTTCTTTTTTTTTTCTCTCTCTCTCCAAGACAGAGTTTCGCTCTCGTTACCCAGTCTGGAGTGCAATGGCGCAATCTCGGCTCACTGCAACCTCCACCTCCTGGGTTCAGGCAATTCTCCTGCCTCAACCTACTGAGTAACTGGGATTACAAGTACACACCACCGTGCCCAGCTAATTTTTTGTATTTTTAGTAGAGATGGGGTTTCACCATGTTGACCAGGATGGTCTCGATCTCTTGACCTCGTGATCCACCTGCCTCGGCCTCCCAAAGTGCTAGGGCGCATGAGCCACTGCGCCTGGCCTCTTTTTTCTTCTTAACATTCATCACTACCCGAGAGATTCTTTATTTATTGGTTTCTGTCTGTTTCCCCCATAAGCATGTGTTTCCTGACCACAGGCTTTTATTCTCACTGCTGTCCCCCCAGGGCTTAGAATAGTACCTAACAAGCTCAATGCAGGGCAGTCAAAGCAGGTTGCATAAATCAGTGAATTTACATAAAATTTGGATTACATGTAACAGTTATTTTCTGTATATGCAATACATTATTTTTTTCCTGCCTTGTGATTGGTATATTGACATCATCATCATTGTATTAATTCTAGCTCACGTGCATTACCCAGATGCTGGCATCCATCTTCCTTGCCAGATGCTCTACTTTTCCCTCCCCTCTTCTTCCCCAGGCATCTCTGCCATACACTCACAAACCCATGGCCTCATGTTATGTCATGTCTTCTGTATCAGCAGATCCAGGCAGGCCCCCTAATCTGAACTTGTCTTTCTTTATCATAATTTACCTTGTGATAGCCTAACTTGTGTTTGCCTAACTGACTCCATCTTAGCTGTGAGTCAGACAGACTCCATCTTAGCCTCTCCCCACCACCATGTCTCCCGCCATGTCTCCCCCTCATGCAAAACTGGGTCGCGCTGACGCTGTGATTAATGACGCTGTGCTTATTCTACAACAAACCACTGTAACCACACCCTACTTAGCAAACACACCTGCTATTGTGAATACTCCTCCTTGGACCCCCCTTGGTGATTGTATGGAAATACCCTGGCCTGCAACCACTTCCCTCAAATCTGCTCATTCTGCTTCTGTAAAATTCCACTTCCACTAGGCTCCCCCTCCCCTACCTTAATCAAGGTATAAAAAGAAATCAAGCCCCTTCCTCAGGGCCAAGAGAATTTTGAGTGTTAGCCATCGCTTGGTCACTGGCAATAAACAACCCCTGATTCAATCTCAGTGGGTGGCGCTTTCCTTACAACTTACTTGGTTACAACATTTGGAGGCCCCAGCGAGATTTGCCACCAGGTGCAGACCAGACTCACTTGGGGCTCCCCTGGTTAAGAGGCAGGCTATAGGAGAAGCGCCCCCTGAGACACTCCAGGACCCCATAGGCCACCAATTTCTAGAGGTGAGCAGATCGACTCCTGGTGTGCCCAACCAAATTATTCCTCCAAGTCCTCAGTCCTGCTCTACAGAGAAGGTAAGTCAGATCTGACCAGGCTATTTCTGGAGGAAAACCCTAATAAGGGTCAATCCTCAAACAAGTAAATCAATTCTCCAGAACACCGGGAGAATTCTGACTGGTTTGAGAAACCGTAAGCCTGTATTCTGAAAACTGTAAAAACTGTCATAACCTCTGAGTGTATGTGTGATTGCGCGGGGACCTTGGAGGCTTGCCTCTAAGGATCCAGTTTGTGGCTCCACAGAGAAAGCTACGGAGTCCTAATTGGCCCTAACCTGCCCTGCTGTTCTGTGGTGACCTCATACCACTTAAAGGCAGCATTGGGCTAGACCTGATCCTAGTTGGGGCTTTGTACTGACCTGTTTATGCCAAGAGGGACCTAAAGTCCCCACAAAGGGCATGGCCAGGCGGACCTCTGAGTGTTCCCATACGGGACCCCCTCCCCTTTTCTGTCTGTCTATCTCTAAATTATCACGGGTTCATCACAGTCTTGACCCTCCTCTCCTCTTTAATGTATGTTGAAAAATTTTTCCACAGATTTTTCAGATGACTAGAGTCCACCTTACAAAAGGTAGACTCCAGACTCTCTGTGAAGTGGAATGACCAGACTTTGGAACTGAATGGCCCTCAACAGGGTCCTTGGATCCCCTGACAATTCAAGCTGTTTGGCAGGTCGTTACCAAAATGCCAAGACACTCTGATCAATTTCCCTATGTTGACCAATGGCTGGACTTAGTCCCAAACCCTCCGCCTTGGCTCTGGTCTGGCGCCAGTCACAGTCCTTCATCCAAGGTCCTTCTGAGCCAGACCTCTCCTTTGCCCTGACCCTCTGCTCCCTCTGCTCCTCCTGTTCTGCCCCCTTCTGAGGAGGAGGAGAACTCTCCTCACCCCTTGCCCCCACCCTATAATCCTCCTGCTACCCTAGGATCCCCCTCTGTCCCCTCATCCTCATTCCCTGTGGCCTCCCCACCTGTCAGCTCCCGACTATGGCCTCAGCCAGATGTGGCTGTCCCACTTCTCCCCATAAAGGAGGTACCACCCTGATCTGGTAGTGAGTGCTCAGTCCCATTTCTACTCTACATTCCCTTTTCTACTTCAGACCTGTACAACTGGAAGGCTCAGAACCCACCCTTCTCTGAGAAACCCCAAGTTCTAACCTCACTGGTTGGGTCCATACTCCAGACTCACTGGCCCACCTGGGATGACTGTCGGCAGCTTCTCCTGACCCTTCTTACAGCTGAGGAAAGGGACAGAATTAGGAGAGAAGCTAAAAAGTCCTTTTTGACCTCATTAAACAGGCTGGAGGACAAGGCCCAAGACCTCTTAGAGGAAACCTTTCCCTCCACCCGGCTTGACTGGGACCCCAATACCTCAGCTGGGAGAAGGAGCTCTGGACATCTTTTACCAGTATCTCCTCACAGGTATTAAAGGGGCCACAGGGAAGCCCATGAATTTGTCTAAAATGACCAAGGTCATCCAGGGGACTAATGAATCTCCTGGAGTGTTCTTAGAACACCTCTGAGAAGCATTCCAAGTTTGCACCCCATTTAACCCGGCAGCCCCTGAAAATAGCCGTGCTGTTAATTTGGCATTCGTGGCCCAGGCACCTCCAGACATCCAAAAAAAATTACAAAAACTTGAAGGATTTGCTGGAATGAATATCATTCAGCTTTTAGAAATAGCCCAGAAAGTTTTTGACAATCAAGATCTCAAAAAGCAAAAACAGGCTGCCTAGGTGGCTGATGGGGCATCAAAAAGACAGGCCAAAAATCCTAGTCGCTGCTCTCCAAGGGACCAAAAAGGAGGGGTCCCCATCATGAAAAACTAGCCAAAGGGCCCCTGATTCCCAACAAAAAGGGGAGCGGCCCCACTATGAAAGGACCAGTGTACCTATTGCAAATAGACTGGACACTGGAAAAATGAATTTCCATTAAGGCCAGAAAAGAAACAGGCCCTAACCAACACTCCTGCTTTAGCTCTCCCTAACATACCCAAACCGTTCTACCAGTTTGCCCTTGAAAACCAGGGCATAGCAAAGGGAGTACTTACCCAAACTCTGGGACCATGGCAGTGTCCAGCGGCCTACCTGTTCAAAAGACTGGACCCTGTAGCTTCTGTATGGCCTAGTTGTTTGCGGGATATAGAGGCCACTGCCAGTCTGGTCCAAGAAGCTGACAAACTAACTCTGGGCCAGGACCTGACCCTTATGGTCCCCCATGTTGTAGAGTCCCTGCTGTGAGGAGCTCCAGGAAAATGGATGTCCAAGCCCACATACTTCAGTACCAGAGATTGTTGTTAAACCAGCCTTGCCTAATCTTTTCCCCTACCGAGTGTTTAAACCCAGCCACCCTCTTGCCTGACCCTGACCCGGCTACCCCCCTTCCTGATTGTGATGAACTTTTGGAAACTACAGAAACTGGTCAACCTGATCTACAAGATACTCCTTTAAAGGAAACAGATGCCACTGTGTCTACAGACAGTAGCAGCTTCATGGAACAGGGGATAAGAAAGGCCGGGGCAGCCATCATCACAGAAATGGACACCCTTTGGGCCCAGGGTCTATCTGCTGGAACATCTGCCCAAAAGGCTGAATTAATAACCCTCACCCAAGCCCTCAGATGGAGAAAGAACAAGCATATCAACATCTACACCGACAGCCGATATGCCTTTGTTACCATACATGTCCATGGTGCCATCTGTTGAGAAAGAGGAACTTTACTGCCAGCCATTTCCTTCCACCTTCCAGCCTGCTGGACTGCCCTGTCTACCCCAGAGGAAGAAGAGCAAGTAACAAACCTCCAGGCCAAGAAAGACCAAAATGGATGGTGAACCCTCCCAGACCCAAGAATTTTCCTGCCTGATTCTCTCGGATAGGCCCTAGTCAGCTGACTCCATTCCACTACCCACCTGGGAGGAATCAAATTGGCTCAGCTCTTACAGGGCTGTCTCAAAATCCCTCACCTCCAAGACTTAACTATTATGCACAGATAAATGCCAAGCAAGGGTCCAGGCCCAACCCAGGCTACTGCCTCCGAGGATGCTTACCAGGAGAAAGATGGGAAATAGACTTCACAGAAATAAAACTGCACTGGGCAGGTTATAAATATCTCCTGATGCTGGTAGACACTTTCTCCAGATGGACTGAGGCATTTGCCACCAGCAACAAAACCACCTCCATGGTAGTTAAATTCTTATTCAATGAAATCATCCCTCAACATGGGCTGCTGACAATGGGCCAGTCTTCACCTCATCCATAGCTCAGTCAGCAAGGCTTTAAATATTCAACGGAAACTCCATTGTGCCTACTGATGCCAGAGCTCTGGACAGGTAGAATGCATGAATCACACCTTAAAAAGTGCTCTTACAAAATTAATCTTAGACACAAGTGAAGGTTGGACAAACCTCCTTCCCTTAGCCTTTCTTAGAGTTAGATGCACCCTTTACAAGGCAGGGCTCTCTCCTTTTGAAATCATGTATGGAAGGATTCCACCTACCTTGCCTAAACTAAGAGATGCTCATCTAGCAGAAATATCCCTAGTTAATTTGTTACAGTTCCTGCAGTCTCTCCAATAGGTTCAAGATGTCATCCAGCCACTCGTCCAAGGAGTGCACCCTAATCCGGTTCCTGACCAGACCAGGCCCTGCCACTCCTTCCATCCTGGTGACCTAGCGTATTCAAAAAGTTCCAGAAAGAAGGACTTATTCCTGCCTGGAAAGGATCCCACACCATCATCCTCACCACACCAATGGCCCTAAAGGTTAACAGCATTCCTGCCATTGGATCCACCACTCCTGCATCAAGAAAGCCAACCAAACCCAATAGGAAACATGGGTCCCCAAGCCTGGACCAGGTCCCTTAAAGTAGCACCTAAGTCGGGTGAAATCCTCAGACTGATTCTCATTATCTATCTCTATTTTTGTCTGTGTTCTCCAGCTATATCCTCTGCCCCTATCTACTCTTTTCTCCTCACTTCTTTCAAAACAGGACATGTGCCTTCAAATACCACCTGGAAAGCAGGTACCTCTAATAAGGTCTCTCTTGCATTCAATTATGTGCTCTGTTCCCAGGATCCTACTCCCCCTAAAGAGATTTTCGAGGTGTTCACCCTGGAGCAGGTGCCGCTGATCTTATGGATTTGAACACACCACAGGCCAAGTCGGATGTGGAAAATCAGGGGCTGCTGAAGAGAGACAACTTTTACCTATGTCCAGGAGATCACCCCAATACTAGCTGTAAGCAAGTTTATGCATGGTTCTGCCCTTATTGGACTTGTGTAACCTTGGCCACTTACTCTGGAGGACTAACCCTGTCCTCAACTCTTTCCATATCTTGCACTTCCTGCCTTGGAACATGTAATAAGGGAACTTGCAATCCTCTTGCCATAAGTGTCTATAACCCTAGTTTTGCTCATTGGTACTACCATATGACATGGGGATTTAGACTTTATGTCACAGGGTTTGATCCTGGGACTGCAATCACAATCCAAAAGAGAGTTCTGGTCCCATGGAGCCCTCCTAAACAAATCAGACCTTTAACTCCTTTAGGCAATCCCATATTCTGCCCATACCCAGATAAGGTCAGCTCAACTGTCCCATCGCCAATCCCAGCTCCTCCATCTTGGTTTCAGCATGAATACCTCCAACCCAGCCTAATGTCCATTCTGAATGGAGTACATCACCTTAATGATACTCAGCCTAAACTGGCTCGAGATTGTTGGCTGTGCCTAAAGGCCAAACCCCCATACTATATTGGACTGGGAGTTGAAGCCCCTCTCAACATTAGTCCTCTTTCTTGCCAAACGCACCCCCGTTCCCTTACACTAGGGGATGTTGCAGGAAATGCCACCTGCTTAATTAGCAATGGGTATAATCTATCTGCCTCTCCTTTTCAGGCTACCTGAAACTGGTCCCTACGTACAATACTTGGTTGGCCTGCACCTCAGGCCTCACCGCTGCATTAATGGAACTGAACCAGGACCTGTCCTGTACATATTGGTTCATGTCCTTCCTCAGGTCTATGTGTACAGGGCACCAAAAGGATGACATGTCATCGCTCCCCTGAGCTCACTCCAGTTTCCGCTGAGCTGTTCCTCTCCTTGTGCCCCTCCTGGCTGGCCTTAGCATAGATGGGTCGGCTGCTATCAGCACTGCTGCTCTGGTCCAAGGAGAAACTGGGCTGATGTCCCTATCTCAACAAGTAGATGCTGACTTAGGAAATCTTCAGTCAGCCATAAATATGTTACATACACAGGTAGAATCCCTAGCTGAAGTTGCTCTCCAAAAACACTGCAGCCTAGATCTAGTGTTCCTCTCCCAAGGGGGTTTATGTGCTGCTTTGGGAGAAAGCTGTTGTTTTTATGCTAACAAATCCAGATTCATAAAAGACACTCTTCAAAGGGTTCGGGAAAATTTAGATAAACACCAACAGGAGCAGGTACATAATACCCCATGGTATCAAAACATGTTTAACTGGAGTCCATGGCTAACTACTTTAATAACTGGGTTAGCGGGACCCCCTTCTTCTCCCGTTAGGCTTAGTCTTTGGACCCTGTATACTAAATTGGTTTCTAAATTTCGTAAGACAGTGCATAGCATCTGTCAAACTTATGTATCTCAGAACACACTCTAACCCCCTTGTTATAACTGAAGAGTCAACGATTTGACTCCCCAAAAACATAAGTGAGGAATGTAAATAGCCCAACTCATGTTAGCCTAACTGACTCCATCTTAGCTGTGAGCTAGACAGACTCCATCTTAGCCTCTTCCTGCCGCCATGTCTCCCTCAGGTGCAGAACTGGGCCATACTGATGCTGTGCTTAATGACGTTGTGTTTATTCTACCATAAACCATTGCAACCACATCCTGCTTGGCAAGCACACCTGCTATTGTGAATACTCTTCCTTGGACCCCCCTTGGTGATTGTATGGAAATACCCTGGCTTACAACCACTTCCCTCTAATCTGCTCATTCTGCTTCTGTAAAATTCCACTTCCACTAGGCTCCCCCTCCCCTACCTTAATCAAGGCATAAAAAGGAATCAAGCCCCTTCTTCAGGGCGAGAGAATTTTGAGCATTAGCCGTCTCTTGGTGGCTGGCAATAAAGGACCCCTGATTCTATCTCAGCATGTGGCGCTTTCTCTGACCCGCTCAGTTACAACCACCTCTCCATTTCTCAGGGAATTGACAACTATTTTGAGTAACTATATACTCCCTGCATTACAGCCAACACATAATTCAATCTTCATTACAGCCCTCATGAGTAGTCTATTAATACTACCCCTCATTATAAGCAAGAAAACAAACCCTAAACTTGAAGAACTTGTGAACATAATACAATTTTGTTTATAAAGGCCCAGCTTTAAGCTTTGATGTTTGTGGTGTTATAGATTGCTTTTCATCTGCTCTTCCTGGATCATAACTCCCAAAGCCTTTTGTTATCATTCTGGGTGTGTTAGGCCTTAGGGGCGGGCCTCAGGACACAGAATCTCTTTCCTGCCCTCCTTCCACTGGCCCCAAGGCAGGACTCTAATCTTCCCCAACCTTTCTGATTCTAGGTCCTAAGACCTTTCCCAAAAGAGAGTCCCTGCCTATACACTGGGGGAAGGAATCCTGACATCATGAAGCTTCCATAAAAACTCAAGAGGACAAGGTTCAATAAGGTTCTGGATAGTGAACATGAGGAGGTTCCTAGAGGGTGGTGCCCTAGGGTGGGCATGGAAACTCCTCGCCCCTTCCTCCATACCTTGCCCTATGAGTTTCTCCATCTGTATCATTTGATTTATCCTTCCTAAAAAACCAGTAAATGTGTTTCCCTGGGTTCTGTGAGCCACTACAGCAAATTAATAGAACCCAAAGAGGGGGCTTTGGGAACCCCAATCTAAACCAGTGGGTTAGAAGTTCAGGAAGCCTGGACTTGCTGCCACTAGTCTGGGGTTATGGGAAGCAGTCTTAGGCACTGAGCCCCCAGCCTGTGGGATCTGACACTGTCTCCAGGTAGATGGTGTCAGAAATAAATTGGAAGACACCCCACTGCTGTCCACTGCTTGGTGTGTGAGGAAAAACCCCTACACATTTGGTCACAGAAGTCTTCTGTGTTGATGATTGTTGTGGTGGTGTGAGAGTAGCAGGAAAACACGCTTTGAGAAAGTTTTTCCTACATCATGGCTCTGATCTAAAAGCCTGTGTGTCCTTCCCACAATCACCATTGCCAAATGTCAAAGACCAGTCCCCAAATTTTTGGCACTAGGGACTGATTTCATGGAAGACAATTTTTCCATGAAAGTGGGGTCAGGGGAGGGGATGGTTTTGGGATGAAACTGATCTACTTCAGATCATCAGGCATTAGATTCTCATAAGGAACAGGTAACCTAGATCCCTGGCATGCTCAGTTCACAACAGGGTTCATGCTCCTGTAAATGTCTGATGATCTGACAGGAGGTGCAGCTCAGGTGGTAACGCTGGCTCACCTGCCTGCTGTGTGGCCCGGGTCCTAACAGCTGGTCCATGGTCCGGGGTTAGGGACCCCTGTCAAAGACAAAGCAAGAGGGCTGTTGCTGAGAATAGCTGAGTGCACACTTTCTCTTAGGGTAAGGGAGAGGTGTGGGGAGGAAAATTTCCATTTTAATGTGGTCTTGCCTGGGACCTAATACTTCAGTACAAAGGAAAGTATCTCAATTGTGGGGCTTATGGGCACTTAGGCAGATCTGTACAAGACACGGTCTTGATTAAGACACTTCAAGGCAGCTTCCTTTTAATCTTACTATGTAAAAAACCACCTTACATGCATGCTGCCAAGCCTGGTAGAAATTAGAGCAGAAAGGGTTTAATGTGTTGCTTTACCTCCCCAGCTGAACCAAATTATCCTCCAAGATCATTAGAGCCCAGTTGGAATAAACTGGTTAATATGAGCACCGAGCATTTCCTAACTTATGAAATACTTCCACTGCTTTTTATATGTCTTAACTATTTTTTTCCTACTTAACTACTTTTGCCATAAGATGTAGAATTCTAAATTTCAGAGACAGGCCTGAAATTTAGAGGCCTAAATGATATCTGGCCCAACACCCTCAAGTCACCAGCTCTATTTTCACTGTAGTCATGGAAGCATTTTGATTGAAACTTTTTTTTTTTTTTCAGTAAGACCTTACCAAGGACTCAAGGAACAACCGAAATATTAGTGGGTTCTTAGGCTGGGCGCACTGGCTCACCTGTAATCCCAGCACTTTGGTTGGGATTATGGGACCAGTCTGGCCAACATGGTGAAACTCCCTTCTCATCAAAAAATACAAAAATTAGACGAGTATGGTGGCACATGCCTGTAATCCCAGCTACTCGGGAGGCTGAGGCAGGAGAATCGCTTGAACCTAGGAGGCAGAAGTTGCCATGGGCTGAGATCGCACCACTGCACCCCAGCCTCGGTGACAGAGCAAGACTCTGTCTCAAAAAGAAAAGAAATATTAGTGGGTTCTTGACGTGTTTGTTTCCCCCTCAAATTGAGGCTGTTTCTGTACAATCATTACCTGAAGTGTCCACTCTTAACCAGCTCTTTTATGTCCTATAGATACAAACTTCTTGAAAAGTTAAATATAACTTCTGGGATGATCACCCTGTGTATCACACACTATGCAAGCACTATGTAATCAGTAGCTCTCTTAAGCCTCAGAACATACTTAGGAGGTATATTCTTATTCTTACACGTGGGGAGCTTGGTCCCCAAGAGGTTAAGTAACTTGCCCAAGGTCACGCAGCAAGTGAATTTGAACCCAGGTAGTCTGATGACAGTAGAACTCCAAATCATAACCATTATATTAAATACTATAAACACATAATTAATGCTAATTACATTAATTAAGAATGTGCCCTGTTCCCATCTTTTATAGCTTTTATTTGTAACTGACCTGTGTGTGGATTTTATGTATTTATTTGAAACAGAATTTTACTCTATCATTCAGGCTTGGAGTGCAGATTCAAAACCTCAGCTTACTGCAACCTCTGCCTCCCAGGCTCAGCTGATCCTCCCGCCTTAGCTTCCCAAATAGCTGGGACTACAGGTGTGTACCCAGCTAATATTTGAGGTTTTTTTTTTTTTTTTTAAGGTAGGATTTCACCATGTTGCCCAAGCTGGGCAAACTCCTGGGTTCAAGCAACTGGCCTGTCTCAGCCTCCCAAAGTGCTGGGATTACCACACCCAGCCTGGATTTTATTTATTGGTGGGAATACTAGGAGGATGGGAAGGGAGAAGATAGTTTATAAAGTAATTAAGAAGATACAGTACACGAAGGAATTACTCGATAGTATATTAAGTAATTTTTCAACTTGCCATCTCCCAGACTTCAAATAAGTACTTACACAATCCTGTGTGTGTCAACATTTGGAGTGTTTTACCGGCTAAATTGCTGGCTTTCCCTATAACCAACTGACCTACTTTAAAAATGTGTTTAAGTGGTCATTAAAGATTAAATCTCCTGAATGAGTCAAAGATGAAACTCAAGGTTATTCAGATCTAAAGAGACATAGGGCACCCGCACCAGGGAATAGCTTCAGGCGAAACCAGTCAGATGCATTCAACACACATTGAATGAGAAGAACGTGTGAGCTGTGAGAGAAGGAACAGTCAGCTTTCTCCCCTCGAGAAGGCCTAAAGGACATCCTCATCTCTGCCTTTTCCTGCCATCTATATCTGGAGCCATAGGAGACGAGTATCTCAGATGGCTCAGGCTGGTTGCCATTGACTCGTGTCGTCGGCCAGGCAGTTGCTTACGGCATCATTGCTGAGCTTCTCTGCACCAAGGTGCTATGCTCTGAGTTGGAGATTCACAGTGAGCAAAACCATACATGAGCTTGCCCTCTTCGAGTTAACCATTTTGTGTTGGAGACAGAAGGTAATCAGATCATGTCACCCATGAATATATCATTACAAATCCTCATAAGCGCTGTAAGCAGAGAAATAGGGTTCTGCAACCAGATGGAATAAGGACCTCATAGAAGTGACACTTTAGGGCTGGGCATGGTGGCTCACGCCTGTAATCCCAACACTTTGGGAGGCCGAGGTGGGCAAATCACAAGGTCAGGAGTTCGAAACCAGCCTGGCCAGCACGGTGAAACCCCATCTCTAGTAACAGTACAAAAATTAGCCAGGCATGGTGGCGCACGCCTGTAGTCCCAGCTACTTGGGAAGCTGAGGCAGGAGAATCACTTGAACCTGGGAGGTGGAGGTGTGGTGAGCCAAGATCGTGCCATTGCACTCCAGCCTGGGTGAGAAAGTGAGACTGCATCTCAAAAATAAAAATAAAATTACATTCATGGTTGGCGGCTTGAAGGACATTTGTATTCAACAGCATCAGTGCACCCTTTGATGAGGTAGCCCTGGGTGCTGCACAACCTGTCAGACAGTACCACGCACCCTGCATGGCAGGACTGAGCATGACAAGCAAGGTAAATGGAAAGAGGCCAGAGCGATGGTCACGCTGAGGGCAAAGAAGAGAATGGGGCAAGATAAGGCAAGGCCAGGTCATGCCAAGTCCTGTCTTCTTAGCCTGGAGAGTTCAGTAAGTTGCATCTGTTTTCCCTGTTCGTGGATGTTTCCCTTGCTTTGAAGTTTGCCCAGTCAGTGATTTATTTGAAAAGGATGGATGAACAAGATAATCTCTACTGTTAAGAGGTACATAGTTGAGCAGGAGATCCAGGCAAGCAAGCGGGTCTTCAGTTGGGTATGAAAAGTCTGTGCTAGGCAAAGCCCCCAGCTCTAAATAATTGTGTGCTACTATTGATAGCATGCCACCATGCCTGGCTAATTTTTGTATTTTTAGTAGAGACGGGGTTTCATCATGTTGGTCAGGCTGGTCCTGAACTCCTGACCTCAAGTCAGCCACTCACCTCAGCCTCCCAAAGGGCTGGGATTACAGAGGCATGAGCCACCGCGCCCATCCCACACTTCCATTTTCTAATGGAAGCAGGGAGAGCCTAAATAAACCGGTCCAAGCGTACACAGGTGGTGAGTAGCCATCTCGGGGCTTCAAATCTGTGCAATAGGTTTGTGCTAGTCCTTGTACTCTTCTTACCCACCACCCTGTCTCACCTCTCAGTTCACATGGCTTAGAGCACCAGGTGCCAAGCAT